ATTCGTAGAGCGCCGACGACTGCTAGTGACCTTGAATTTGTCTGTAGATCGATGTTACTCCAGTCAATTTAGGTTCAAAGTGGATGTTTTCTAAACCAATTTGTTGTTCCTACATCAAAAATATATCGATGATGTTTTGTACTGGGAGCTCATGAAAGATCAAGGTAACTTATTTTAACAGTCATCCTTTTTCTAGTCTCAAGATGACACGAAAAAGGGTCTGTGGATTCACTAGAAATACACTCCCGAGGATGTTTAGACCTAAAGTGACTGGAGTATATCCGTGGATGCTTTCGAGGGATCTGTACACGTGCTGATCACTGTTTACGTTTAATGTCTTTCTTCAGCGCCCAGAGTATAGTTTTTATCGTACCATTTATCCCTACTTGAATGCAGATGATTCCCAAGGTCAACAGGTCAATGGGGCAAACCTGCGGAACAAAGAGGTATTCCAGGAAGTGGCTACTCTTGATATGACTGTTCGTTTGTAAAACCGTGAAACAGAAAGCTAGTTTTTTATAAATTCTGTTGCATTTGAATTGTCGACGGAAGTCCATTTCTTTGATAAATCGAGGGCGTTGATCACGAATTTGATATCGCTGTGTGCAGCGAATCCCTGGCTTTCTTGGAAACGAGTGCAAATGGCCTGGTATTTAAACTCGATACTTGTGCCCTCTCGCCATCACGTAGTTTTCTGACGAGAAGGATCGTTTAAGTTGACGCAACATTTCTCGTTGTTGCAGCAAGTGATAAAGCTCACAGCAGAAACAAAGAGAGGCAGCAGACGCTCAAAGAGCAACAATTCACAAGAGACATCTATCCTGGGGAAACATCAAATTGCGGGGGCTTTGCAGACACGGCTACGTGGCGTTTGAATTATGAATATAGCGGTATCTCTTTTTAGACAGATGATAAACAAAGTGTAGCGGGGGAGCCATTTCTTAGCGGTGCGATGTTGCTGCGTGTATTATTTACTGTGCCTCCGGCGCATTTGGTCTGAGGAGACCTGCGATAAAGGGTGTATCGATGCTTGAAGGGAATTAGAAATGGCTCAAATAGAATACAAAACTTTTGTGTTATTACCAGGAGCAACGTTGCATAGTCAGATTTGTCAAAAATCGACATGAGACTGAAATGATGATTACATATTAAAGAGAATTAAACTCAACGCTGTAATTCCAATCCAATATGTTCGTATATACGTGAATGTATGTGTGAACCATGTATAAGTATATTTATGTAAACATTTTTATAAGTTATAAGTAATACATTCCCATGCGGAAGAATTAATTCTTCTGTGGATATTTGTAGTTTATTTACGTATATGTATGTAAGTTTTAGTTATGTTGGTAAAATAGGCGAATACACTTGTTATTAGTACTATTGTATACATTTATAAACAGAAAAAAGCGGCTATCATTTTGATTGAAATACAATGACATACACAAAAATAAAACTTAATTCGGTAGACACTCTGTATATAAAATAGACATTTCCTAAAAAAACTTAATGTGATGCAAAAATAGCTAAGAGCATTTTTTTAGTTGATCAAATTACTGACCATTCTTTTCTAGATTGCATTGCGTGCTACGATATGGTATCTCACATCACCCAACCAACTAGGATAACTTTAACCACGGCATCCTCCATAGATGTTATTTGTACAACAAATAACTCAGCTGAATCATTAATTTCAACTAGCTCTGCACCTGTTCCGAATTTGTCAGATCATAATGTAGTCAGATGTGACTTCAACATCACACGGCCTAAGAATTTTCAAAAGACTGTCAAATATAGAGACTTTAAACACTGTTGTAAAGATCAGTTTTTGGTGGATTTGTATAAAATCCCATGGGACGATATATATTACATCAGTAACTTAGAGGATAAAGCTACGTTTTTTCTAATCATATTTTGGATTTGTTTGATGTCCATGCTCCTGTTGTTTCATCACGTATTACTAAACCTTATGCTCCATGGCTCACAGGTGGCATAAAATTTTTGATCTCCGAGAGAAATAAAGCCTTTAGAAAATATCAGATTTTAAAAAGTCCAGCTAGTCTCGAATATTACCAGAAATTAAGAAATGATGTCATTTCCGCTATTAGGCGGGAGAAAGCAGCATATCTAAGCTTCAATGAACAACTAAATAGTAACAAGCATCTTTGGAAAGCTGTACATTCATTGAAACTCAAAACTAATGTAGATAGATCTTTACCTACACAGTTGAAGAATGCCGATGAGGTAAACAATTATTTTTCTTCCGTTTTCACGCCTTCGGGCAATTGCAAGGATCTAGTTGATAAATTTAATAGTACCAAAATTAATGAAAGTGCTAGATTTGAATTTAGTTTTGCTACCCCACAAAATGTGCTAGACATTATTCTGTCCCTAAAATCTAATGCAGCAGGTTCGGATGGTATAACAGTCTCAATGCTGAAGCTTTGCTTGCCTCGAGTATTACTATTTACGCATTTATTGAACTGTTGCCTGGAGGCTGGGTATTTCCCTGATGCTTGGAAACTATCTCTTGTCAAGCCCTTGCCTAAATGTAAAAATCCAAAATGTCTCTCAGACTTAAGACCTATAACTTTGATTCCTGTTATATCGAAGATATTGGAGAAACTGATTAAACATCAGGTTTATCATTATTTCTCTAATATCTGGTTTCCGCAGTGGTTTTAGTACAACTTCAGCTTTAGCAAGGATTTTAGATGACATCATTGCTTCGCTTGATAAGGGAGATGCTTCAGCACTTGTATCATTAGATTATTCTAAGCCGTTCGATAAAATAGATCATGAGCTTTTATGTGCTAAATTGAAGTTTTTTGGTTTTTCAGACATACCTCTAATGTTTTTTATAACATATCTTTCAAATCGTAAACAAGTAGTAGAGATAGACAACACTATATCTAGTCCGATTGATATAACACCAGGTGTCCCTCAGGGTTCAGTTTTAGGGCCCTTGTTGTACTTAATTTATACTATAGACTTGGGTAGCTCTGTGAAAAACTCTTCTGTGATGTGCTATGCCGATGATACACAGATATATAAGAGCTTTAATAGTAACACTTTGCATACTTCAATCAATGAGCTTAATGATGATTTGGAGGCAATAGTAGGATACTCAAATGGTAACAATCTTAAGCTCAATAAGGATAAGTGCTCAGTGATGCTTTTTTATCCTGCTGTCAAACGTAACACTATATTGTATTCTCTTGATGTAAAAATTGACAAGGAGCGTCTAGCTGTCGTAAATACTACATAAAATTTAGGGTTGATTATTGATTATACTTTACGGTTTAAGGAGCATGTTTCGTCTATCTTAAAAAAATGTTATGCAACGTTGAAGTGTTTTTATGTCAATCGCTCTATTTTGAATTTTAAAGTTAGAAAAAAGTTATGTGAGGCTATTATATTTCCAAGCTTATTTTACTGTAGCACTGTGTTCTATCATTGTCTTGATACTATCACAAAAGCAAGACTCCAAAAACTCCAAAATACTTGTTGTCGATTTGTATTTAATCTCAAGAAGTATGATCATGTTTCCTTAAAGAGATTTCAGCTAGGTTGGATGTGTATAGAAAATGCTTGCAAGTACCATATAGCAGTGTTTACACATAAGATCATATCTTCTAGATCCCCCTTGTATCTTTATGAGAAATTTGTTTTCAGACGAAATAATTCAGACATTGATTTCAGACACAAAAAAAGACTAGAGATCCCTATGTATAAAACAACTTTATTTCGTGATTCATACTTACAATGCTATCCTGATTTATAACGAATTAGATGACAATATAAAAGATTGGCCAGTAAACAGATTTCGTAAGCATGTGAAACAGATTTATTTGTCATTGTAGTAATTGTGGAAAAGTTAGTTTTTAATTCTTACATTTTATTTTATTTTACGTAATATATGTGTGCATATATGTATGCTAGGAAGCTATCAAGCTCGTTGTTTTGAAGCGTCTTTTGCTTGTCAAAGTTTCCTTTGATTGAGTGTTTCAATTTAGTATTTGGGTAGGTTAAGTAGAGTAGCCAAGAGCTAGACTTCGCCTACGTAGAGGTCACATTATGTTGTAGTGTATATAATGTGCCTAATAAAGACATTTTATTATTATTATTATAATTATTATTTATAGCGGCACACTCCGTACGTTGTAAATTTGTGAACATGTGATCAAAAGTAAATATTACAAATGTTTTTATACGTTACGAAATTAATGGAATTTTGCAGCTTTTCCAATAAATTGTAACCTACCAGGCCATCGTTGATTTTAATATTATTACCGTATATAAACTGACCATAGATTGCATATCAAAAACATTGATTGTCAACATGATTTCATATCCAGTAATTGTAAAATAGGAACAACTCAAACACCACTATCCAGAAAACAGCCTCGTTAACTTTGTTAGCTTTGCAGTAATATGTTAAAATTAATCGGTTATTTTGATTGCTGCTTATAATAACATTGATTCCAATAACCATGTGTTTGGATTGATTATTATCGAGCGCTATTACCACAATATCTATACTATCAACCAAAAAGTAATATTGAGGTATATTTTTATTACACATAAAACGTTTTTAACTGTTGTAATATTAAGAAAATGTTTCCAGTAACCGATACAACAATCCTAACAAAATAAAATAAAAAATACATTCTTAAAAACAAGCTCTCATCTGCTAATAAGGTCAACTAGAAGTCTTAGGATAATTTTCGAAATCTTTAATTAACGATGATGATCTCAAGTGTTAAAAAAATATGTTGAACCCCTTTTTTCACCTTGCTATCAACCAATCGGAAAAAACAATTTTAAGACTTGTAGCTTACTTTATTAGCAGCTAAATAAGATCTTGTTTTTAAAAAGTATGTTCTTGGTTTATAGATTTTTCATTTCCTGGAAGGTGTAGTAAACCTAGTGCACGTCATTTTTCTCCAAATTTACTTCACTTTTCGTCAAATTCAAATGCACTACACTACAAAGCCTACCTTATAATTGCCAAGTTCAGTGACCGTGCAGCTGAGGACCGCTTCTCTGCCCAAAGCCACCGTGATGTTTTCAATCGGACTGGAAAATTGAGGAGTTTCTGTTTGATATCTCCCTGTATTGGGCTGCGTGAAGCTCTGACCTGAAACAAAACAAAAAGGCATTTATCCTAGATACTTGACTCCCCTGTTTTGGGATTTGGGTCCAAGCGGAAGGTCTTTTCAATTCCAGATGGTATCCTTTAAACATCAAGCCCTCGTCTGACTGAAAAGGATGTTCCCTAAGAAATAATGTAATTTCTGTTTGACTATATCTGTAGGTTGTACTGAAAATTCATAATTTGCTGTTTTGTGGAATAGAAAAGCCTGGAAATAGATTTAGTAATGCTACAGCCTGCGCCTCAACAAAGAATCTTTTAATAAAGCTCAAAAATGCACCAAAATTGTAGCATCTCTATAAGGCAATAACCTGCGTGGGCCATTCTTAAGGTTGCGCATGGTGCCCGCGCATCTTGTCACGTTACCTGCGTTCAACCCCAGACGTTGTTGGCCAGTCTTTCACTACTCCGCCATCACGCTTCACATCTCTGTCAGTATTGGTTGCCTGGTTATAATGCTTTGTTTTTCGTAAATCCGCCAAATGTGAAGTGCGCTCAGTAATTCGGTTTTTAAACGCAAAAAATTGCATGCTGCTATAAGTGCTGAGAGGTGGTATGAAACATCATTGATGCTTAGACGCAACTGGATAACAGACTCTCGTCTTTTACCAAAACCTGAGGAACTTCTTGGTGGAAGGTACTTGGAAAATTATGACATATTGAAAGAAACAATTACACGGAGTGCTTTGATGACGAAACACAAACGCCAGCGCCACGATTTGACAGATATTCAAATGACTATGGTAAAAAATGAAAGAACGCTCTTACCTCAATTTGTGACAGAACTTACGTTCATGAATAAACTTTTTCTGATTCCATTGAAAACTGATTCTTACATAAAAAATGGCCCTCCTGTTGTTGCATTGCATGGTTACGAATCAGACGATTACAAACTTCCAACTGGTACTAGAATGAAGTAAACAAGATGCATGAACTCTCGCAGGGCAAAAGGGGGAATGCCTCATAAAATGTTCATATTTAGCATGATTCAATGTAAAGTAATTAATATAGATTGGGTATAAAGATATTTCTTGTTTAGAAGCGTAATGAGACAGAAAGAGGGTGCGGCAGAGAGGACGGACAGTTTTGGGATGGGTAGTACTCTCCGCCTCCGTCTACGAGAGAGGTGGGGAGGGTGCCGTTTGACACGTGAGATCCTAGCATTATTTTACGAGTTGTCGTTATCGAGCCTTGAACGGTGGAGCACCGCGTTTTTGCCTATGATTGTTTTGTCCGAAATGATGAGTCAATCATCGTCGTACAGCGTGAGTTTCGCCGCCACTTCAACATTCATCGGAATAGAGCTGTTCCCTCTTGAAACACCATCCTTCGTTGGGTTGAATCACTTCGCAGGCGTGGTGAACTGATCAACAGAAGACCAAGAGGAGCGCCGCGAACAGTTCGAACTCCTGAAAATGTTGAACGCTTTCGACACGTCTTTCTTCGCAGTCCGACTCGATCTGCCCGGAAACATGCTGCTGCACTTCGCCTTAGTGATCGTTCGGTAAAGCGAATTTTGCATATGGATCGCCGCTTCCACGCCTACAAATTGGCCATTGTGCAATAATTACAGCCCGGAGATTATGCACAACGAATGAACTTCGCACGTGAGATGGAAGCACTGGTCAAAATGAGAACCTCATTTTGTTTATGAGTGACGAAGCCCACTTTCATCTAAACAGCATGGTTAACCAACAGAATTGTCATTATTGGGCTAATGAAAATCCGCAACAGTTACATGAAAGACCGCTGCACAGCCCAAAAGTAACAATTTGGTGCGCTGTATCGCAAACTTGCATCATTGTTCTTACTTCTTCGAAGACGGTAATGGTCGTGATGTTACCGTGAACTCAGAGCGCTACGTCGACATGATCACCAACTTCTTTCTCCCTGAATTACGACGGCGACGTGTTTCAATCCGACGTGTGTGGTTCCAGCAGGATGGGGCGACCGCCCACACAGCTCGAGCATCCCTGGACGTTATTCGCCCTCTCTTCCCTGGTCGCCTTATTTCCAGGTTTGGCGATGTTTATTGGCCTCCTCGGTCCCCAGATTTATCCATATGCGATTCTTTCTTACGGGGACACTTCAAGGCTAGAGTATACGCGAACAAGCCCCGAACTCTGGACGAATTGAAGGGCGAAATTCGCGTGGAAGTCGCCCAAGTTGAGAGAGCGATGTTGCAGAGAGTCTACGCGAACTTCCAAGAACGCCTCCAGCACTGCATCAACGATTTCGGCCACCACATGTCTGATGTGATTTTCCACACTTGACTTGCTATTTCCTTGTGAACCTGATTCCATCAATAAATTTGCTTTCGAGTAAAAATTAACTATTTTATGATAAACCCGTCCATCCTCTCTGCCGCACCCTGTATAATCATTAAGGTCTACCGATATAGAATCTAAAAGTTATTTAGTAGTTCAAATCAGATTCCTCATTTGGATATATGCGTTTGTAATATATGTGATATTGACGCAACGGTTTTGTTATGTGCGGCAAGGACACATCCGTTCCAGTCTGGTAGAAAGTTTATTGAAGTTTACAGAGTGGACTGTATTTGATTAGAAAAATAATTGACAATACAAATTTTTCTTGAACGTTTTTGATGCATTCTATCTCGACACCTGTTATGTTGGTCTCGGCGTTTTCGATGTCCCCGCGTCTCCGTCCCCATTGGCTGGGACTGCCAGGCAGCGCTTGCGCAGTGGTCGTGGCTGGTACACAGTGGCGCGCGCGCCAAATGACCATTGGCGAAACAGGTTTCAATTTATTTGTGATGTTTTCTTGTACAAGCTGGGCTTTTAGTACGTGCTTGGTCAATAACTCTGCTACTGCGTATGGTATCTAAAAAAGTTAAATAGAAAAACTGTATGCTCCTACAGGGTGATTAATAGCTACGTAGTGACACAAAACTTTTTTTTGACCCAATATTTTCTCCTTATCTGCTTACTTTTTCAGTTATTTCAATAGTTTATACAGAGTGGTCAAGAAAGCAAATGAAATATTTTTCAGATTTTACAATAAAGGCATTCTATATATTTTCACATTCTTTGATTTCCCTTTTTAACTAGCCCTTTTCTGATATCTATATGACTTAAAAAGTTTGTGCGGCTGGTTTTTCAGTTACAAACTACGCAGGAAAACCTTCATGACTTTTTAACTTTACTGCATAAGTTTAGGTAGATTAATTTCATAATAAATATAAATCAATTCTGGCGTCTTGCTGCCACCACTACTAAATACTACGTTTTTTTTTTTAATTGTAATGTAATATTTTCCATTAACCGTGATAACGATATCGACAAAAAGGTTAGTTGTAACTCAAAAACCAGTCGTACCAGCCTCTTAAAGGTATACAGGGATACTAAAAATGTTTGTAAAATAGAAAGCAAAGCGTCTTTGATTTGAAATTTTTGAGAATTCGTAGTTGACAGCGGATGAGAAGCGAGTTGTAAAATTTTTTTTAGATATATTGTCCAGTATCTTAATAGTTAGAATGTAAAACCGTGTAGTATGTTCTGCTTCATCGGAAAGGACTTATAACCCACAATAAAATATAGATATTTCTATTTAGAAGGACGTGTGCCTGGGCCACTGTGTAGTTATGAATCAATTAAAGAGCATACTGTTGGCTATAATTTATGCGATTATTTTTTTTTCCTTGATGCGATGCGTAATTTCGGAGTTACCGACCGAGTCCACAATGCAAACTCTGTACATCAAAATAGTCACCTAACCTATAGTCATTCTCGAAAAACTCAGGTATGTACATCTTCGATACTAATTATTAATAAATTTAAAACTTAAAGTAATTTTCGTTTATCAAAATGGCGGCAGATAAGGCTGTTTTTTTATTGCTTACTCATTTTGAGTTTCCTTGTGGACAGCATTTTCACAGTAGTTTTTCCAGCTCGCCCAGCTATCAATTTTCTGCACTATAAGGGACTATTTAGCTGTTTAACGTTCTAATGACTTTTCAACTAATTGTATTTTTATACTAATAATTGTAGTTGCTGATGGCAAGGCAATTATCACCTTTTCATAAACTATTCAACATTTGCCTTAATAGAATACCACACCCACACTGAAAAGCTATATAAACCGGCGGCATATGGATAGCCGCATAGTTAGTTGTCTCTGAAAATCTTATAAGATGAAACTAAATATTTCGAAGTTCATTTTGAATCTTCTCAACATGCAAGAAGGTACTGAATCTAACTGAACACGTAGTAGCCGTAGTAATAAACTTATGATCCATCATTTTATTGCAAGCTACACAATTTCCGACTGATAATAAGTTTAAGCTGATTTTAAAAAATGAATAGCAATATTTCTAGAGCAAAAAGTACATACAAAATAAGTTTCTATACAATCATAGGTTCTAAAGTATCTGTTTTTCAATATACAAAGGAGGCTGCACATTTATCTCTAAGCTACTGACACCACTGATTTGATATGGAATATAAATAACTATATATAAACTAGAAAGGATATCATTCTGTATACGGATTTTTAGTTGGTTGCTTTTAAAAAAATGAAATTAATCAATCATGCAAATAATTACCACAGTGCCCGATCTCAGAGTACAGTAACAATGACAATACAGGGTGTCCGCAAAGTTGGGGTTTTCCTTTACACGACGTGTAGATCTGGGAAACATAAGCAATTTTTCTTAGTACCATATACACCAATGTCTCAAGGGAACCGAGATAAAGGGCTGTGCAACATCAAAAATATCTGAATACCGTCCTGTAGCCGCGACCCGCGAAATCACCGAGTGGTACAAGGTCACTGGTTCAAACCGACGACAGAACTGGGTCGGGGTCAGTGTGTCAGGTCAGTATGCAACCTTCAACCGACGGTAACGGTCACGCGTATAGAGGTAAACGAACCCGTATAATCGATTGCGTTTCAAAAAAAAAATAATGGCACACTCATACACCAATAATGAGCTCGTTGATATGTTGTTAATTTATGGCGAATGTCTTCAAAATGCTACAGAGGTTTCGCGAGTGTATGCAGATCGTTTCCCTAGACGTTATCATCCAAGGCCCCGCAGATTTGTGTACCTGGTCCAGAGAGTCAGGGATATGGGCCATTTGGAGCAATTTCGAGGTGGGCACAGTGGGAGGCCTAGGCAAAAACGAATGGTGCAAGTTGAGCAAGAACTACTGAATCGCGTAGACGAGAATCCCTCAACAAGCACTAGAGACGTGGCTAGAGAAGTGCAAGTATCAAAAACTAAAGCGTGGCAAACGCTGCGTGAAGAGGGGCTGTATCCGTTTCACGTCCTACGGGTACAAGCCCTTCAACCTGATGATATTCCAGCAAGATTGCGGTTTTGTGAGTAGTTGTTGCATCAACATGACAATAATCCGGACTTTTTGAAGTGCATATTGGTGACAGACGAATCTACGTTCACGCGTAATGGGGTGAATAACTTTCGCAACACTCATGTTTGGTCAGTAGAAAATCTGCACGCTGTCCATCGGGCACATTTTCAACAAACATATTCGGTGAATGTTTGGGCTGGCATGGTGAACGGTATGCTCATTGGACCATTTATTCTCCCAAATCGATTGGACGGGATGCAAATCCTAGACTTTTTACGCAACATTTTGCCTTCCTTGTTAGAAGATGTGCCATTAAGTGTAAGACAATCAATGTGGTTTCTGCACGATGGTGCACCGCCCCATTTTAGACGTGAAGTGCGTGAGTTTTTGAATGAATTATTTCCGAATAGGTGGATCGGGCGTAATGGACCCGTAGCGTGGCCTCCGCGATCTCCAGACTTAACACCATGTGATTTTTTTCGTTGGGGAGAAATGAAACGCTTAGTGTACAAAACTGAAGTGCATGCGGTTGACGAACTTCGTCTCAGAATTGAACAAGCTGGTGCTTTCATTCGGGGGAGGGACTCCATTCTCAAAGACTGCACCGATGCTTGGCTACGACGTGCACGCACCTGTGTTTTTAAATCAAACGGCGATAACTTCGAACAATACCTATAAAGTACGTTTACCTAAAAACTGAAAACGCGGCAACGCCGTCATATTTGTTACCTCTGTTCGTGGTCTGCACCACCGCCTGCGTCTGCTCGGTAGCGCATCAGCTGATTTCATTTTCTGTTGGAGCGATATCACTTCGGGCAGAGACGTACTTAGCCCTTCTCGTCAACTGGAAAGTGAGTACTTTTTCCATTATTTTTTTTACTTGGTCGCCCTCGTTTCACTACACATTACCTTTGTTATTTCAAGGGTAGTTGTTTCTGAAAAGGACAACCCCAACTTTGCGGACACCCTGTATATTCGATGTTTATCTGTAGCTCATTTGCTTTTTCTTTTCTTCGCTGCTATGCAGCGCGTTGTGGTCACAACACACTTTATAGTAGCGAAGGAAATAAGAAAAAAACAAATGAATATATAGTCAGTTGCTTTGACAGGTGTTACAGTGGTGTTCAACACGTCATAAGAGGAGTAATTCATACATATCGTCGGTCTCCGCACGTACAGGCGTAAATCACAAATAATCTAAAATCGAGTTACGTCGCAATTTCACAGATTTTTTTGAAGTCTCTTACTTCACGAAGTGACGTAGCTGTATATCAGTTCGCTGCTAAGAATTAAAATTTTCAGAAAATTGCCTAAGTTATTAAATTCCGAAAACAATTTTCACGTACCGGTTTAAATAATAGATTTACGCCTCTGCGTTAAAACTGGTTCTACATCACTTTAGTCTAACAAAAAGAAACAGCAATGTTCAGACTGAAAAATCAGTATGTCACTTTCAATCTCATTTATTGCTAATTTTTGTTTTCTAGCTCTCCTGTAAAATTTCAGTTACGCCGGTACGTGCGGAGACCGACGATATGTATGTAGTTTCATTTGGCCAGATGATTGTGGAGTTCTAATGCAATAGATATTTCATATAGCCAGAGCCTCGAAAAATATCTTGATTCGTTTTTCTGTAGGTCTCAAAATATAGCAGTTTCTATGGCATCGTCATAGTTTCAGCCAATATAATTTCAAAATATAACTTCAACACTTTGTATCATGACAAAGAGGATATTTCGGACGCAGGATTACAGCTTTTCTTTGTGATCACGAAAAAATTCGAAAGTCATTAAATGATTTTGTATCTTATATGACATGTACATTACGAAGAACGATGTCACTCATTTCCGTCAGTCTGTTGGTCTCTCCGCAAATACTTCTGCCGTCTATTAACTTGGATAGCACAGATTTGGATGAAAATCCTTCATTAGTTTTGAAAATCGGTTTAGTGGTGGCGGAGAAAAATACCAATAACCCAAAAAAAAAAGATAAAAACACCACAAGCTTTGTTTTTGACGCTTCAGAAGATCTTAACTATTTTTGTAAAAAATTACAATTTGTCGATGTTATTATATTAATACGCTTCCCAGGCACATTTGTTTTCAAAACTTAGACGATAGAAAAATATTTTGTACACGTGGACGCGTCCCTGAGCCTGTTTTCTTACCTCAACCACCGGCGTGACGGCCTGCGTAAGTGTCCTCGCATTACTGTCTCTCTGCCGCGCTACTGCGCTAGATGTATCTTTCATTCCGGTACTGGCAAGAGGCGACGTTGCCAGATGGATGGCACTAAGCGTGGGACAACGGATGAATGTTGATGACTTAATGTAAGGACCTGTTTGACGTCATTCATCCTTTTAATTTCTCTGTGCTCGTAGCTAGGTTTTCCCTCGGAGGGTCTAATTCAAACATGCTGCTTTCATCCATCCAACTGAGGACAGCCATTTCGTGCTTCTTCGGCAACCCATCAGCATGGTCAAGGCTTCATCTCTGCGATAGCGAACGAAAGCATAGCAACTATCCTCTTTCAGGAATATAAAGTATTTGACACTGTCTACTTCACGTTATTTTATGAAGCACTGTCTACTTCCGAAAAACGAATGGCGAATGGTATACGATCAGTATTTAGTGCGATCCGTCAATATTATGACATTAATTTAACGTTAAGCATGAATATTTACTGACACTGACACTAACGGATCAATCAATGAATATCAACGTTGTGGATTTATGTAAAATTCGCCTTAGCGATACTAAAACTTAGATTGAGAGAGACGAGGATGGAACATACATGCATTTCTTGGAGTATAAGTATTTTTTCTTGCTCATTTTCAGACGAATACATAGAACCAGCTAGTATTCCACTGCTGTTCATAGTGCACCACTATGTGCCATGCTTCAGTTTGATATTCACTTGTATTTTCTATGTCCTTGTAAGCCTGTCGGTGCTCATTGTAGATTCGATAATCAGCAACAGTTGGATGGAGATGTTGACTTATAATCTGTCAGTTATCCCCACGCTAGGTGTAAGTATTACACTCATTTTTATTCTCCCACGCAAGAAGCGATCGACCTATAGCGATAAGTATATCGGAATATTGGTAATAGCGGCCAATGTTATCGATATATGAATGGGTCGACATGCCGATACACGCGACCGATACAAATTATAATGTTTTTAATCCTTACGTAGAGGAACTGCAGGGTATTTGGAATACTGGTTCGTTTTTGAAAAGTAAATTGCAAGATAAAGGGGATAGCAAAATATGCATTAAATTATTGGGAAATGATGATGTAAACAACCAAACAAAACAAAAACCAGGAGCCTCATCAAAATATTTATCAAAGTAAAAAACTCCAAGAGCGTAGGGTGCTGGCAATTTGGAACATAGTATTCCAAATTATAATCACCTTTTGTGATAATTGTTGAACCTTGTAACCATTTTACAGTCTTTTCTAATTAATCTATTTAACAAAATAGCTTATAATAATCATTAATTATTAAGTAATCAGTCACAATAATCACAAATCAGTATGTAGCCTGAACTTATAGTTTTTAGTTCTCAGTTACTGTTTTTAAAATAATCACCGGTATACACACCAGATTCATGGGCAGTACAAGCAGCGTGAACCCACAACTCGCACATTAAGCACTATACCTATTCCAAATTAAGAAGATGACATCCTAACTTGAAACTCCATGTCACATTTTTAATAACAGGACGATAATTGCAATGACGATTTTACCTATCTTAGTAAATGATTATGAATGATTGCATTCTACCGACAAAAACTGTCCATCGTACAAATATTATCAGGAACAACAAAACTTAAGGATACTTTTTTAAAATTCAAGTTCATCTTTTGATACTCCTATCTCTAAAGAGGACCTAAAAATGTCAGTAAATAAATACATTAATGATTTCCAGATTCCAAATATTGCAACAAATATAGCACAAAACGTCGATGAACTTAATCAACATAAGGAGTATAAAACACAACATTGATTACTTAAAAATACTACTCGACCAAATATGGTACAATTTTGATCTAATAGTTTTAACTGAAACGTGGCAAGTGGTTGATATTTCTTGCTTCAATCAGCAGGGATTTGACACGCTGTATAACTTTGGCACTTATAACCAAAACGATGGGGTGATAGTTTTTGTAAGAAATGAACTGCAATATAATCATGATCACTTTCACTGATGGAATCAAAATTTTAAATTGAGGTATCTGCAATTTATCGTCCGCCATGTTCAGAACCCCACGAGTTTTTGAAGAATATCGAATTTTTATTTCAAAATCAAAATAAAGTTCATTTAAAGCAACATATTTTCTTGGGAGATGTTAATATAAATATTTTGGACGATGATCCCATCACAAATGAATACTTGAATATCCTATCAAGTAACGGATTTCTTTTCTATATAAACCTACCTACAAGGTCCATCAGTGGCACATGTATAGATCACTGCTTTGTGAAAGACCTATCCAACAAAATTACTTGTATACCAATAATCCTAGAAATCGATATTACTGACCACTTCTCCACTATTTTACTGATATCTTCAAATGAAAAACATTCTAACATCCCTACCGTTAATAACAACCAGGAAAATTACAAATTTTTTGTCGACAATTCAAAACTAATATCAAATGTCAAACAAGAATCCTGGGAACAATTATACTCTATAAATAATATAGACGAAGCAATGGGACTGTTCATAGAGAAAATAAAAAGACTAATAGATATTAGTACCAATAAAGTAATAATTAGTCACAAAGGGAAAAGCAGAAATGCCTGGATTACCAAAGGATTAATAACATCGCCAATAGAAAAAGAAAGACTATACAATGTAATGAAACTAACGCCAACCACAGAGAATACCGACTGCTACAACCAATATAAAAATAAATTTATAGAGCTTGCAAGGCAAACCAAACGAAAACATTACCTAAATAAATTGAATAATAACTTAAATGATCCTGAACGGCTTTGGACAACTATTGATGAGATTACTGGGAAAACAAGATTTAAAGAGTGTGTCACTGAGTTAAATACAACATGGGGAACAGTATTAAAAAATACTCAACAGATATGCGATGAATTTGTACAATTCTGTACTGACATAGGCGAAAATTTAGCAAGTAATATACAAGTAAATGTACAAAATACTCAGCCTAGAAAAAGAACTTTGAATTCATTTATTTTGGATAAAGTCGAGCAATGTGAAGTATACACGACTGTTATGTCCTTAAAAAATCGGAAAAGTCCTGGGTTCGATGGTATTAAAAGCGAGCATTTGAAAATTGTAGCCGAGGACATAACAGAACCACTCACTTACCTAATCAACAAACGCTTTGAATCTGGCATATATCCCTCAATTTTAAAAAAAGCTAATATAATACCGATACATAAATCAGGAACAAAAACAGATGTTAGCAACTATAGACCAATATCAATAATATCCAGTGTAGCAAAGGTTTTTGAAAAAGTTTTATCTACTAGAATGATTCGATACCTCACAAAATTCAAAATTTTAAGTGAAAATCAATATCGATTTACAGAAGGGAAGGCTACATCGGACGCAATAACTAAAATTGTAAATCAAATACATCAAAATATGGATAACAGAATCCCTTCAATCTGCATTTTTGTTGATTTAAAGAAAGCTTTCGACACAGTTAATCACAAATTATTATTAGAAGCATTGGAGAGAATTGGTTTCAGAGGAAACGCGAACTCACTGATCGAAAATTATTTGTCAAATCGCCCACAATCTGTGCAGATATCAGGATCATTTAGTAAAGAAATGTATATTAAGTGTGGTGTCCGACAAGGAACTGTCTTAGGTCCGCTGTTATTCAATATATATTTAAATGATATTTTCCAAATTAATTGTGTTGGCAAAATAACTAGTTTTGCAGATGATACTGCAATATTATATGAAGGTACTGACTGGTCTGATCTGAAAAATGTAATTGAAAATGATTTTATCAAAATTATTCGGTGGTTTAACAGTAGAAAATTAAGCATTAACTACTCTAAAACACATTTTTTACCATTTGGATCTTATGCTAGACATCTGCCAAATTACACAAATTTCTCCTTCAAGATTAATGATCAAAAAATGCAAATTAATAGAGTGCCCAACATAAAATACCTTGGAGTGGTCTTGGATCCTCACTTACGATGGGACATCCATGTCAATTATATTTTAAAGAAAGTTAGATTTGTATTCTACAAAATTAAATACCTTGGGAATATATTGACAGAAAAATATCTTCGAACATTATACCATGCACTGATTGAGCCTCATCTCACATATGGTATATTAGCATGGGGAGCTGCATGTTCCTCACATATCTATAATTTAGATGTTTTTCAAAAAAGTATTCTAAAAATGATATTTAAAAAACCGAAACTTTATCCCACTGAAAAATTATACGCAGATGTTCGAATGTATGATATAAGACAGCTTTATTTCTTACACAGTATCACTCACTACCATAAATTTGTAAACACCGACCAAAAAATTAAACATAATCATTATACCAGGTACAAAATTCGTGGCACAGTAGTTCCTCAACCGCATAAATCTATAATGCAGCGATCATATCTCTATTTAGCGCCTAAATTTTATTAAATTATACCTAAAGACGTTTCGGAAATTGTTTCAAAAGAAATTTAAAAAAGTGGCTACATTCTATATCTAGGACTGAAATTCATAAACTCATAAATACGAACATCAACTAAATACATAATCTACTGTAGCTGATTTTTGTCCTTTTTTGTCATTTGCATTCTACAGTTTCAACTTAAATTATTGGTCCATGTACAGGCGATGCCTTCTATTGGGCCTGTTTTGATTTTATATTTATTTACTCATATTGTTTGTTAGCTTTGTACATTGAGTGAATGAATAAAAAAAAATATTATATTAAAAATGTTATTATTATTCTTACCGAACAAGTTTTCAAAGTACATAATTGTTTCGTTCCCGTGTGGCGGGTAGCAGGAAATGTCAAGATGGCATCCTGTTTTTACTACTCCTGGTTTCGTGTAAATTAGGACAATATATTCACAGCAAAAATATAAAGATATAATCTGCACTTGTTTAGATATCTAAGTATTCCAAGTTACCTGCAGTATTCCATATATACTGCACTTCCTCTACATAACATCGCAAAGAAGAATGTGTAGCTTTTCAACATTCTATTACTTATTATGAACTATTGGAATGTCTGCTATGCGACGATAGCAAAAAACTCAAAATCTTTTGGATAAGACATGATAGGACAAAATCGGTTGCTTTTGACCTAATCTATCACCCCTTAACAGGAATACGTGACATTACAAGTCACCCTGTATGCATACAAAGCTTAAGTTTTAGTGCTAATTATGTTAAATTTTAAGGAGATGATACTGCTATTTTGGATTGCATATAACAGAAAAAAAGTTCTTGGATTAGTGAACATTGTAAGGAAAGATTCACGTCCAGTTATTAGTTCAGATCTTGAAATGATGGGAAGATTGCGACGTAAATGGTTTTACGCCAACATACAGAATATGTCCCTCATGCTATATGTCATATTCATACACTTGTATGGATATTACCCGACATCAGCTGGAGAAGAACGCAATATGTATTATAGGTAGGTCAGTTATTTGTTTCTTTTGCGAAGTCATAACTAACTTCATCATTGACTTGCCTTCAAGTTCAGCATATGAACTTGGGGAGGAGATGTCATTACGATTCAAGAAAACTATTCTGAATGTGGATGATGGAGTCTTGTAACAAGGTCAAGTAGGTTGACTCTGTACTTCTTACGCATTGCCGTCGTCAGTTTATAAATGATTAGATTTGGCACAGTTTAAGTCCTCTTGTTGACCAGGAAAGAGGGGAGCTTATCTGGCCCTGAGGTCATCTTGGACCGTTTTTTGCTGCATCACATATTTTATTTTCAGTTATACTCCCCTGAGTTAAGTTGACGATACAGTGGATGTTAGAAGATAGGTTTTCACCGCAATAGGTATTAGATGGCAAGTAAACTGTCGATCGCCGAAATCATTATTCCGATGAGTTATATGACATGGAATCCTTGGTGTTTTGTTTTTTTGATATATAAATGACCAAAAAGAAGCGGTGTTATTTCTCACCGACTCTTGAACTTCTTGCAAATAGCTTTCGTACGCAACTTTTAATTGTGATTTGATGAGTGATCTTAGTCTAATGAACTCGTTTCTGTAAAAATTGTTTTTAGTTTGTTTCCATCTACGATGGTTTCTTTTATGTTCTTAATTATTAACGAATTATACCATCGTGGAAACTTCCGCTTGAAGTTTTTGAATAATAGGACATGCTTATCCAAGGTTCCATAAAACTTTTTGTAGAACTCGTTAATCGCTTTACTAACATCCTGAAATGCTTTCAAAAATGACCAATCAATAATAGTTAACTCATTTTACAGGGTGCGGCAGATAGGACGGACGTTTTTGGGATGGGTAGTACGCTCCGCCTCCGTCTATGAGAGAGGTGTGGAGGGTGCCGTTTGACTCGTGATATCCTAGCATTATTTTACCAGTTATCGTTATGGAGCCTAGGACGGTAGAGCACCGCATTTTCGCCTATGATTGTTTCGCCCGAAATAATGAGTCAATCATCGTCGTACAGCTTGAGTTTCGTCGCCACTTCAACATTCATCGGAATAGAGATGTTCCCTCTCGAAACACCATCCTTCGCTGGGTTGAATCGCTTCGCAGGCGTGGTGAACTGATTAACAGAAGACCGGCGGCGAACAGTTCGAACTCCTGAAAATGTTGAACGCGTTCGACAGGTCTTTCCTCGCAATCCGACTCGATCTGCCCGGAAACATGCTGCTGCACTTCGCCTTAGTGATCGTTCGGTAAGGCGAATTTTGCATATGGATCTCCGCTTTCACCCCTACAAATTGGCCATTGTGCAACAGTTACAGCCCGGAGATTATGCACAACGAATGAACTTCGTACGTGAGATGGAAGCACTGATCGATCAAAATGAGAACCTCATTTCGTTTATGAGTGACGAAGCGCACTTTCATCTAAACAGCATGGTTAACCAGCAGAATTGTCGTTATTGGGCTAATGAAAATCTGCAACTGTTACACAAATGACCGCTGCATAGCCCAAAAGTAACGGTTTGGCGCGCTGTATCGCAAACTTGCATCATTGGCCCTTACTTCTTCGAAGACGGTAATGGTCGTGATGTTACCGTGAACTCAGAGCGCTACGTCGACATGATCACCAACTTCTTTCTCCCTGAATTACGACGGCGACGTGTTCCAATCCGACGTGTGTGGTTCCAGCAGGATGGGGCGACCGCCCACACAGCCCGAGCTTCCATGGACGTTATTCGCCCTTTCTTCCCTGGTCGCGTTATTTCCAGGTTTGGCGATGTTCATTGGCCTCCTCGGTCCCCAGATTTATCCATATGCAATTTTTTCTTATGGGGACACCTCAACGCTAGAGTATACGCGAACAAGCCCCGAACTCTGGACGAATTGAAGGGCGAAATTCGCGTGGAAGTCGCGCAAGTTGAGAGAGCGATGTTGGAGAGAGTCTACGCGAACTTCCAAGAACGCCTCCAGCACTGCATCGACGATTTCGGCCACCACAAGCCTGATGTGATTTTCCACACTTGACTGTCTCAAATGCTATTTCCTTTTGAACCTGATTCCATCAATAAATTTGTTTTCGAGTAAAAATTAACTATTTTATGATTTTTTCTAAAACCGTCCATCCTCTCTGCCGCACGCTGTATAAAGCGTCTACGTTGTGAAACCCAGGTACATTCGAGCCATCCTTTTCTTCGATAATGCATAAAACTGATTTTGAAGAGCTTTCGATCGTTCCCAATTTCCAGAATATCCTTGCCTAAGGCTCTAATTGGTTTGGTGCTTAGTTTCCAAAATTAATCCTTGATATAAAAAAACATCAGTGAACAAGGGCGATCACAGCGTGACTCACTTATGCTTTGCTACCCGTCTCTCCTGCATCTCGGAGAATGCTTGGTTGCCAAACAAATTTAAGCAATGATAATGCTAATTTTTCATCCAAAGCAGGACCCCACTTACAAATAGCAGCAGAAGTCATACATTGTCTCCATTTCTTTGAACGGGCTAAGGTAATACGCTAAAACCTGAAGTAATGAAATTGAGTGCCTCAGAATGATAATTCGGTAAAAATCAAAAAGGTAATTTTACAGGAGATGAAAGTAACATGTTTAATAAAACTAGTTGTACTTTTACCTGCAAATTATTATTTAAATGCTTATTGAAAGTGTTTTGAAACGTTTTTTGAGCTCATATTTTTGTTTAATATTACTTGTATTAGAAAAAAATGATAAATAAAAGACGGATATACCTAGTTGTCATTCTGTATTTACAAAATATCAAATTAGATTAACAATAACTTTCTTTATTCATCACTACTCTCGGATCAGTCGGTTTCACTTTCCTTCTGCTGTTGCTCTGATGTTTCCAAAGAGTTATAAAATCCATGATATATTGCAGGAATGAAATCTTGAAGTTCCTTTAAGTTTTGAAGTTTTTTTGGGCTAACCTGAAGGGTTGTAGTGTAGAGTTGAGCTACATTCCATTCCTTTAAAGCAAGTAAATCTGCGTTAGATTTAAGTGCAATGAAAGTTTAGTTTAGACTTTCAATATTGTGGCATACAGAAACGGTGATTTTTTTATCCTCATATTTAAAACTTTTGTATTTTGAGACGGTAAAGTTTTTTATGCTTTTTTAAAAAAAAAGATTGGAAATATGAACGAAAGTCCCCTATCATCCTTGGCAGTACATTGACAACAGTAAAAGTTTTAGAGGTTCTTGCAACTTTTGAATACCATTCTTCCGGCAAGTAAAGGTATGTGACTTTGCGTTTTTCCTTTTCAATGAGAGCAAATTTGCGATCGCATGGTAGAAACGAATGACCTCTTTCAGGAAATCGATGGTAGATCATTTTAAATCTTCCAATGGCGACCAACGAAGATAACATCTGAACAACAACCATGTTTTTATTTTGCCCAACACAGTTATCAGTGAATAAGTACAAGGTCTTAACTGAAGGATCAACAGCACTGTCTACATAATGTTTCAAAAAAGATACTGTCTCATTTGCACCTTTTTTTCCTTCGACTTCATTGTACATGTACATATAAGAATGGCCCGTTTTTGCCGAGTAAAAACACTGGTTATAAACCCAAAGCTGCCTTTTATAAAAAATATCACCTATTGGAAGTACAGGTACTGGCAAATTTTGTTGATAGTCAAAGCTAATAACATCCATTTTTTCGTCAGTTTTAGCTTGTTCACTGAACCGCTTAAGGTCGTCGTAAAATTTCTGTGCTTTGGCTTGATGCAGAGAGTGAGTGTTCTTGATTCAACGGACATTTTTCTTCTGGATTTTCTGCCGCATCTATTTGATTCTTGAATCTGTCATATGCATTGCAGACGTCTGTTTTAGGTTTTCCAAATTAAAGATTAAATTTGGTGTTAAATATGTGTAGATAAAAATCATAGTTGATTTTAAATTTTGTTTTGTTATCAGCCTTCACTGTTGATATTTCTCGGGTTCGTATTTTTCCACGTACAGCTGATGCATTTTCATCACACTTAAGTCGGGCGAAAGAAACTTTCTTTGACTGCTATTTCTGGTGTAGTGCGAGATGCGAATAGGAAATGAATTTATATGTGATTCAATTTTTCGGATTATAGCTTCTGGTTTTTTAAGTACCCTGGATCGTTCAGATAAACCCCTTTTGTCGGTCGGAGGAGCCGAGTTACTTTTTTTAGTTTGCCCAATTCGATCAATCCTATCAATATGATCTACAATAAAAATATTGTTAAATACCTACGTCAGTAAATAAGTATTTGCATAACAACTAACCTTATAATGAAAGGATGAGTTTCGTTTTGATGCTTGAATTAACTCAGCATCAGTTAAGATATCTTCAATCGGATGGCCCTTTCCATAAAGTCGCTTTTTCATAATATCTGGTCGCCTTCTAAATAAATAAAAAAAAATTAAAAAATTACCTATTTGTTTCTTTTGTTACTTATATTCACGTACCTTGCAACAGGCCTCACTGTTATTAATCCAAAAAGATAGGAATCTTGCACATTTTTATCAGCCAAGTTGTTAAATTTATCAAGAATGTTTGCTTTTTCTTCGACTGAGATTTTACTTGTACATCTATTTTTGCAGTCACATTCATAACCCCGCCCTGCAGGCATATTTTTTCCGGATTTAGATGTGTACGCTAGTCCTTTATTGAGGTTAGATTTCCTTTGAACACTTTTCCAGAGATGTTTATTTTTTTCTTTTTCTAATTTTATTCTCCTCAACTTCATTATTACTATTAGCACTATCACTATAATCTGGGTCAGAATCATTGCTCATTATCTCGGTATCACTGTCACTAGACATCATGAAAATGCTAGCAAATAATAGTCAACCAGTGAAAAACAACAACGCAGTAACAAACACTCTAGAGACTTCACTTAGAATGAAAACTGGGTAAAAACCGGATATACCGAGTTTTCATTGTCAATGACAAAAATGTATATATATTTGGGCCATCTACTGGTAAAACTACTAAGCGGATATGTTCAATTCTCACTCTAATTCGTGTATTAGGTCTACATGATTCGAAACGCGCAAAAATCAGATTTTCGTAAAAAGTGGTTTTTACCGACTTATCATTCTGGGGTATTCAATTGATGCATGGATACTATGCATATTTTAACGTAAAAGTGACAACTGAAGACCCTAGTGGATAGTGGTAACACCATCATTGTATGGAGAAGATTGTCTTTAAATAATTTTTTGTTTGACTTTTTGTTTTATTGAAATTTCAAATACTCGTATTTACATCAATTGGTTTGTAAGTATCTTCTTTTTGTAAACAAAGTAAGCACAGAATGAAAGAGTCACTCCTCGAGGTTAGCTTAAAGCAAAAAAAGCAATTTTTAAAAATTGTTCTATGACACCTTGTCACATGATAATTTGCTTTGAAGTTGCTTATCACTACTTGACAGCCCTAGAGTGAGTTACACGGCCACTCCATTCCATCCAAGGAATACTCCGATAAGGAGCCCATGCGCCATTTTATAACGCCAAGCTGCCATTTTTAAGTTGAAATATGCTATCTATGCATGCCTTTCGTCACCAAAAATTTCAGCTGGCTAACCTGACCTGTTCAGAAAGAATTAAGGAGAGCCCTTTGGAGAAACTCTGTAGGCCTGTATGAGCAAACAAACAACCATTTAAGATGATTTATGATTTCCACGTCTAATTCTAGTCGTCTTTGCGGGCTTAAAGTACATCTAAAAAAATAATTTTACGAATGGTTGCGCTGCATAAGGCGCCTACTGGTAGATCGTATCAGGTTAACAAATCTTAGAAAAGTCGTTACAACATTCGTAATTCTTCTAGGTTCACAGCAAACCGCCTCTTTGGAAACTGGCCAACAATCATCAACATTAGCTACGTATTTTTTTACTTTGCCCAAACAATAATAGCTGTTTCAACATATTCAATAGCCGCTGGGATTGTCTATGTAGCTCTCACAATAGATTTCCAGTACCTGCTTCTTGTTGATGACCTAAATCATAAGGTACTAATTCACCAGGGGCTTTTTTCTCTCATGAACAACACGAGCTATCAAGCTATTATATATAGGAATCTTAAGCAGTCTGTGAAGGGCTATCTTAGGGTGAACAAGTGAGTATCAGGAGCTTGTGTTATTTTCTATTTTTTAACTATTGTTTCTAAAGCTACTTTTTTAATTAAAACACATCCAGGCAGAGCCGTTATGGAGAATATCGGATACTTCTTTGATTTAGTATCATATCAAGGTGTCCATAAACTATTTACACGAGTAGTTCTCGTGATACGGAGCCTCCAAGCTGGACATCTCCTATCCTATCTCAGATTATTACATGATATGTAATAGTGATTTAACACTTATTTACATAGTAATTACTGAAAAATAAGAGCTAAAAGGAATTAAAAATAGTGACAAAATATTGGTGGTTAAAGTTTTTGACTGGTGACAAATTCTGCCAAGTATCTCGGTGTCACCCTTGATAAAGGCATGACCTGGCAGAAACATACAGCATCTATAAAAACAAAATTCCAAATTGCGTTTCGGCAACTATATCCTTTGTTATGTAGATCCTCCAAATTGAGTTTGATAAACAAAGTTCGACTATATAAAATGATTATTAGACCAGCCATTACTTATGCATGTGCGGCTTGGTGTTTTCTTGCCAAGACACACATGCAAAGTCTTCAAGTACTGCAAAGCAGAACTTTGCGGACAATTAGCAACGCCCCATGGTATGTTTCAAATGAGACACTACACAGAGACCTTGACATTCCTTACTTGAGGGATTATGTCAAGCTTCAGGCGCAGCGACGTTATAGTCAAGCGGAATCGCACAGCAACCCTCTGTTGCGTGACTCAGTGGACTACACAGTGGAGCAAGTTCGTAAACATTCAAGGCCACGGCTCGCACTGTAATCAAAAGTTATCGTGAATCTTTAGTAAACTCAAAATTACACTCTAACAAAACCGAATCAAAAAAAATTTGTTTAGTTCACCTCAAAATTAATCCGTGTACCAAGTCAAAAAGCCTAGGTGTTTCCTCTTAAACTAAGCATATCTGTTTTTTCTTTGTTCTTCTACTTTGTTCTTCTCTTTCCCTTTCTCTTTTTCCTTGACTTTGTCTGGTTTCTGGGCAACCAGGACTGACAGATTCGACTAACGTACATCAGACAGTGACTAATGGGCAAAGGTCCTACGGACCGCCCAGACAAATAAATGACGAATAGTTGGTGAAATTGGCCCTTAGCGTGGCTACCGGGGCACGCTGGGATAAAGGGCAATGATACTCGTCCGGCGGACGCTCTTATCAAGACAGAATCAGCCAGCAAGCTCGTTCGTCTTGAGTCAGCTTTAGGGTTGCCCGCGCAAAGAGGAGGAAAACGGAGAAGTGGATTGCCAGACAGTACTCCTAGAAATGGAGAAGCATGTCCAGACATCTCCGTTACGCATGGGAACTTATTGTATGGTCCAGCGTCAAGGATGGACTTTTTTGCGTATCTTTGGATAGTGCCAACCTAAGGTAGCCGGTGGGACAGTTGTCTATCCTTAACACGTTAAGGCGCCACCTGCACGTGATGGAGGTGGCTGAGGATCCCTTGTTGTGAGCGCTGCGGGGTAGTGGCAGAGACCTCGGCGCACGTTCGGTGTCGGTGTGAGGATCTGAGCTACTATAGGCAGACTATACTGGGGCTTGGACACCCGGGAGGTCGAGGAGCTTTGACTCAAGGTCATACTTTGCTAAAATGGTGAGGCTTGAGGTCTAAGGAATCTAAAGGTGTACAAGGGCCCGCTTAAGTGGTCTATGCGCCGACTCCTTATAGTGGCCGGTACGCCTCTAGCTTCATTCAGTCATTACATATGGAACAAGTTCAGGCATTTTGACGTTTTCTGCAGCGCTTGAACTGAATTTTATTGTTTACTAAAAGTACATTTTTTCAGACACAAGGAATGTTTTATTTGAAAACACGAATTTATCATGGTAAACTAAGATTTTTAAGCTATTTTGCTACATAGTCACCATTATTTTCTAGTCATCAATAAAACCATGTAATCAACTTTAGCACTCCTGCCTCAATGAAATCCTCCTCCAGCCTGCTTAGAGACTTTAGAACAGCTTCCTGCAACTCCTCGTCCGCCTCGAACCGTTGACCGCCTAGATCCTCCCTCAATTTCGAAACCAGACGGAAACCGCTAGGTGCCGTTGAGCAATGACCTCTCAGCCTAATCGCTTGGGTGCTTCGTTTGTTTCGAGCAGAGTTGCCAGACGTACGATAATTATTGTTTCTTGTACGATAATTTCAAGTACCTTACGATGTACGATACTATGTATAGGATAATAGTTGAATGTCCGATAGTTTTGCGAATGAGCTTCTTTACTCACAGAGTACTAACAACTATGTTCTATTAACACCAGCAAGCAGCTGTCAGTGTTGCCGCTTGGTAGACAAGCGCGCGTACCGCACTCTGTATAATGGGTTGCATAGCATTACGCGGACTATCTCGGCAAACATCACGTCCTATTTATTGACATGACGCGCATATTTTTTCCCATGTGCATTAGATGAAATGAATGTGACGTCTCCCTTTTTTATAACTTTTGAAACTTGAAAATCAAAAGATCGTTTTCAGTTATTTTCGACATTTAACCGGTCGCTCAATCTTCACCACATTTTCTTCGGAGATCGACGACCTTCCGCTCCTTTATTCATCGTGAATGTCCGTGCGCTCGTCCGAGGACTCTCTACGCCATTTGTGGATATTTTGAATGCTCATACACATTCCCCCACATGCTTCACTAAACTGGCGATACATTTCTGTGCGTGGTAACTTTTTTCCTGCAAAAATTGGATCACCGCACGAATTTCACACTTGACGGTAACGGCGATGGAGGACTCGATTGCGCATGTCTGTCGGGCCAATACCGAGCGCCGCAGATAGATGCTTGTTGTTGGCAGCCGACAATTCCGACGATGTTGCCAGATTTCGCCTAGCATCACGCTTAGCAAAGTTACAGGCACCACGTTTTCGAAACAACCCTGGTATGTCACACGCTTTAGGTGCAGTTGTATGGTGAGCGAAGAGGTATTTTCTTATTTACATATTTATATTCTAGGTTTATGAAAATAACTGTTGAATCGAGCCAGAATGATTTCATGTTTTTATGGGTGGTATATAGCATCGGACTGCTGCTATTTTCCTTCATAACAATATTTGGGGTGAGTGACAATTATTTTTTCTCATCGAAGAAGCACCTTGCTAGCTTCGGAGTAAAATAACAGGGTTCATTCCACTCTGCAGTTTGACGTCGAAAATTATGGTCATACAATCAGTTTTATCCTTTGCAAATTGTTTCAGATGTTGCTGTCAAATTCATTTATCATCCAAAGTTAATAATAAAGTCACCCACCTTGCTAATAGCTTCTTATACCCTAAGTAATTTTCAAAATGTGAAACAAATGTTGATTTAGATGCCCAGAGCCTCAGTCACTTCATAAGTGTTGTCAACCGTGTATTTTTTAAACTTATCTCGTGTATAGAATTAACAACAATTATTCAACGTTGGCAACAATTTTCGGCCGTCCACTGCATGACTATATACTATATAGTATACTAAGCGACATTAAAAAGCAACACACAATTATTTATTGAAGTTTGATAAACATTTATTTGTTATCATAGAAGTACAGGGTGGCCCATAAGTCCTTTGAGCTGGAAAAAAAGGAATAAAACCAAACTAGTTACATTATGAAGGATTATTATATTTTGTTATCATCTTTATTGAATGGGAATTATGTTTTAAAAATCACATCGTCTAAATGCAATCCATTACGATCACGGCACTCATATAAACGACGTCTAAAATTGTCGATGACTGCGCGGCAAGTCAACACTGTAATGCTTGCCATTTCTCTTCGGATATTTTCTTTCAGGACATCAACATCGCGGAGTGGTGTCGTACACTTTACTCTTGAGGTAGCCCCATAAAAAGAAGTCCATTGGGGTCAAATCTGGACTACGTGGTGGCCAGGAAATGTCTCCTCTTCGAGAAATTACTTTGCTGGGAAAAAGTTGACAGACGACGGGCATAGAAGTGTTGGAGGTGTGGGCAGTTGCTCCGTCCTGTTGAAACCAGGTCTGCGTATTATAGCCTGGAAAATTCTGCAACGCTGGTGTCAAAAACTCTTCTATCATTGCCACATACCGCTCCGAAGTAACAGTTAATGCGCGACCTCTGTCGTCCTCAAAAAAATAAGGGCCTACGATGCCATGCGCTGACATAGTAGCCCAAACTGTAACTTTAGGGCTGTGTAAGGGATTCTGATGCTTACGCCTTGGATTTTCGGGGCTCCATTAACGGCAATTTTGTTTATTTACATGCCCGTTTAACTGGAAGTGAGCCTCGTCCGAGAACAACACATTATTGAGCGAAGAAAATCGATTCAACATTTCATTCGCAAAGTTTAGTCTCTGAATAGCGTCATTATCTTTTAATTCCTGCACTAACTGAATTTTGTAAGCGTGCAGACGTAAATCTTTCCTTAAAATCCGCTGTAAAGATGTTCTGGGTACGTTTAGTGCACTGGAACGCTTACGAGTAGACTGGGTAGGATTTTGAGGAACAGACTGTGCCACAATGTTGATGTTTTCTTCAATACCAGTTGTCCTTGGTCGACCCCACCGCTGTTTATCTAACGTCGAACCAGTCTCTTCGAACTTAGCAACCCAGTTCTTAATCGTTTGAGCTGTTGGACACTTTGTAAAATTGTGTAAATTGTGGTATTCTCGATATTTACGCCGCGCAATGGTTGCCGAATCATTATTTTGATAAAACGCGCGCAGACAAAAAGCACGATCCGCTCCAGTGAAACACTCCATGGCGACTGAATTCCCAGACACTGAAGATTCTGCCCCCACCTCGCCCGCGCCGCTCACGGTCACCCGTTAAATTTTATTCAAATTTGAAATTTCAAAGGACTTATGGACCACCCTGATACACTAATAAAATGTTGAAAGCATTCAGAGCCGTAATTTCTTGTAAAGCCTTTTTATAAACTGCTGTCTTGATTCGGGTCTAAATTTCTTCCTAACGTTTCGCTAGCACGAGGACTCTGCCAATCCTGTCCGTGACTCTTAGCACAAATGGAAGATACGCTTGAAAGGTGATGGGGCACTGTTCGGTTTCACGTGGCCTGGCTGATCTCGAGCCCATTGATCTTTCGATGCCTCTCTTGCTGTAGTCACTTGCTTCTAACGAAGTTTTCAGGTGTATGTATGCATACAATTTGCCATGGAGATAGAGAGTGACCAACAACTGGCCTTCTTGGACGTACTAGCCAGGAAGCGAGGTAACAAGCTGGATTACACAGTGTACAGGAAACCAACGCACACAGACAGATACCTGCACGCTTTGTCCAATCATCGCCCAAGTCAGAAGTATGGAGTCATCGGAACCCTGACAGAACGAGCTCGAAGGATTTGCAAACCGGAGAATCTCCAGACAGAACTTGAACACCTGCGTTCGAAGCAAATGGCTACAGCAAGAGGGACATCGAAAGATCAATGGGCTCGAGATCAGCCAGGCCACGTGAAACCGTACAGCATCTCACCCCCTCTGAAGCGTATCTTCCATTTGTGCCAAGAGTCACGGACAGGAATGGCAGAGTCCTGAAGAGACATGACATTAAAACAATCTTCAAGCCTATGGAGAAGATCCAACAAACCATCAGATCGGCAAAGGACAAGAAGGACTCACTCTCAGCTGCAGAAGTCTACCGCATACCGTGTTCATGCGGCAAAGCGAAAGCCTTAACCAATTTGTCAAGCCTTTTTATGTTCACTCAATATTCGGTGTTAGTTCCATTTGTTTCATTGATGTTTCATCTAATTCTCATACCTAAAGCTCGCAAACGGGCTAACTCGACTTTTCGAGTTTGAAGGGGTTCGTTGAGCCGGATTTTCTTTTAGAGAGAGATCGCTAATCGGATGAATCGAAACTGAGGTACTGTAATGAGATGTTGTCAAGCGTGGTTTATTCCATTCGATTTATTATTTTAATCAATTTCCGAGAGGTTGAGAAGAGTAGATATTTTCTAGACTCCGCCTTTTAAGGAGCATTATATAAATATACAGTGTGAGTCTTCATAAGGTGCACATATCAAAATCAGGGAAACTACACTCTATTTCATCGACGGATAAATCATCAAAAAAACATGAATTTGATTTTTTATGAATATATGAATATTTTAAAATTTTTAGTAGCAGCTTCTAACCATATTGAAATAACTCGTTACAACTTTTAAACTAAATGTCCTATCATATTGGAATACATTTTGAAGTGATTGCTGGTAAAAGGACGTGCCTGAAAAGTGAAGAATTCCAGGAAAAGTAAAAAATTTTCTATAAATATCGTCCCTTGTACCCTACCTTTTTTTATTTGTAAGTTATTCTACATGTTATCAGCTTTATAAAAGTAAAAATTTCACGTTTATTACTCAAATGTAACAGTTTCTATGAGTGTTTATAAAAAAGCCCATGCGCATCGTCTTGCTAGGCACCATTGTTTATCATGTAGATACCTTTTTTTGGTGATTCAATGTAGAGTCGCGCGGGCTGAAGTACGAGAGGGGAGGCGTGCCCAGTTGAAAAACAATTGGATGTTGGGCAGTTAGGCAGCTATTTGTGTTTCTCCTGCCAACTTTATCAGTTTCGTTTGCTGCATATCACGCTTTCGCTTTTTGGTCGCGATGCCGCGTATAAGTGATTTCCCTCCGGCACCCATTGCCGATATTCATTATTATTACGGAATGTACCGAGGGAGTGCTAGAGCTGCTTGCACAGCTTATCTAGCTGCATGTCCAAATCGACGCCCTTTTCCATCAGCCCGTAACTTCCAAGAAGACTGGCTAAGACTGGACTTGGTTAGCCTCGAGATCGCCGCGAACCAGGTGTTATTATTCATGTTGCTATCGAAGAAGCCATTTTGGATGATTTGTTTTCTGACTCGACTACTAGTACGAGACGTTTGGCGTTACGTCATGGCATATCCCAGAAATCGGTTTGGCGCATCTTGAGGAAAGCAGGGTTGCATACATACCATTATCAAAGGGTGCAGCACTTGCATGAAGATGTGGATTGGCGTCCAAGGTGCGTTATGTCTACATGGATTTTAATAAAAACGAGAGACAATCCTGCATTCCCGAAAACAATTCTGTAGACAGATGAATCTCAATTCACGAGAGACGGCATCGTGAACTGTCGTAATTTACATAAGTGGTGCCCAAAAGATGAAAACCCTAGGCTGAAAAGGGCTTCAACATTTCAAGTGAAATTTTCTGTAAATGTGTGGGCCGCACTGATTGACAACTTTTTGATTGGTGCAATAATACTCCCGAGGACATTAAACGGAGATTTCTGGAGCTTTTGCGGACTGAACTGCCCTTGCTGTTGGAAGAAGTGCCGCTGCAAACCCGTCGAAGAATGATACTTCAAATGGATGGATGTCCTGCCCATTACTCGCTGATTGTCAGGTATTTTCTTAATGAAAATTATCCAGGCCGCTGGATCGGTCGACAAGGACCTGTTGGGTGGCCGGCGCGTTCCCCAAATCTCACACCTCCCGACTATCTTTTATGGGGGACAATGAAACAAAGGGTGTACAGCAGTTCCATAAACAGCGAAGCGAATTTTGAAGAAAGAGTTTTGCGTGTTGCAAACGAAATAAAAAATGATACCGAGATGATTCGTAGGGCAGCTCATCAGATTTCACTTCGCGCTACAATGTGTTTGCAGCAACGGGGTGGCCATTTTGAACATTTGATGCATTAAGCCAAAATGATTATCCTATAGACAAGTCTATTTGATTTTATTTGTTAAAGGTAGTGAATGATTCATGTAGGTTAATACTGTTGTTTTATTCCTACTCTGGCGTTGAACTGAGTTCACTGCTTTTTGAAACGCTGATTTAAAAACTTGTATCTAAGTAATAAACTTGCAGTTTTTCACCATTAGGAAGCTAATAACATGTAGAATAACTTAACATTTAAAAAAGGTAGGGTAAATAGGACAATTTTTATTGAAATTTAGCAATCGTTTTAAAAATCATTAAAAAAATAGTGAGTTTCAGCATATTCCTCTTTATTTTAAATTTATAGCATTTAATTTCGTGGAAATTTTCACTTTACTGGTACGGCCTATTATTTGCAATCACTACAAAATTTATTCCAATATGATAGGACATTCAGTTTAAAAGTTGTAACGATTTATTTAAATAGGTTTAGCAGCTGACTCTAAGTAGTAGTTTCCTTGATTTTGCTATGTGCACTTTATGAAGACTCACACTGTATAATGTATCCCTTAATAAAGACCCATTATTGTTATTATTACTATTATTATTATTTCCCCCATCGAACGTGTATAGGACATCATGGGAAGGAGGTTGCATAATTCACAGCAGCCTCCACAAACATTGGAGGCTCTACGAAACCGAATTCAGATGGTCTGGAATGCAATACACCAAGAAGACATCAGTCATCGAATTCAATCAGTGCCGCGACGACTTAACGAATGTGTATCTCAGCTAATTTGCAAAATTTCGAGTTCAAATTTCAATCACTTTCTATACAGGGTGACTTCTAAGTTGAGTCATTTATTTTAACAGTGAGTAGATCTGATCAAAAGAAATGTTTTTTTCCTTTAACATATTTCTGGTAAAATTAAAGTAACAAAGTTATAGCCCTTTAGAAGTTTGAGTATCGCCCTGTCTCAATAATAATATTATGTGCTCGTGTTTGGCAACAACGGATATAATCCGCCTTATCGGTTCATCGCATCGGAAACAAAAAAGCGAAAGAATTTGGAACGCTTATCACGATGTTTTTACTACAATTTTATTCAGTTGTATTCAGTCAATGTGTCAGTCGGTAACGCGTGAGTGAATAGTGGTGTTTGTTGCGTGGCTGAAACGAAATAAAAAATGGCACATGTTTACGAAAATGCTGAACTTGTGGACAAGTTTCTTATTTACGGGAGGAGTCTTTACAAAATGCTGCCGCGGCATCACGGATTTATGCGGATCGGTTTCCCAATCGAGTGCAACCAACCCCTCGTGCCTTTGTTAATGTAGTACAAAGGGCTCGTGAATCAGGTGGTGACTCAAGACCTCACAGGGGAGGGCACGCCGGTGCTCCAAGATCGCACGATCAAATACAGGTCCGCACTGAAATACTTGTCGGGAGGATACTTTATAAAACAAGGTAACATTTTTTTTTTATTTTTTTTTATTTTTACACACATATTTTGGTTTATCTTCCGTCTACAATCGTTATCTGAAAATTAATGAGTCAACTTCAAAGTCACCCTGTATATCAGTAGTCCTACAACGTGTAAAAGTATGCTCAAAAGTATAGCACTCCTAGCAGGTGTTGCATTTTCTATGTCATGTACTATATTTATTAAGTGCATTTTTTAAATTATCGATTTTCTAAGACAATATGAAGGACGTCTGCTTCAAATTAATGTAAAACGGATACATTTTTTAACCCGTCTATGTACAAGTATTCATAGGGAGTAGTAGCAGTTTAGAAAAGCAACTTACTTTCTAAGACTAACCTGTACTTTTCAGCATTTCTATCCGCCGTCTGAAATTAAGCTGTACTTCATTCTAACAGCTATTTGCTATGCATTTGTTATATGTATAAACGCTGGACAAGGAATTACAAATTCTGTGAGTAGTGCTACAATTAACTATACTCAGTGACAGTAGAAGTGTTACACCCAGAAAAAATAATATCTTCAACTTGATTTTTTGTCAACATAATGACTACATTTAAAGCATACTACAAAATTGTACTGTGATGAAGGTAATGCGTGTGTGTCGTGTGTGGATAGAAGAAGGTAGAGGAACACGAAGAAGGCCAACTGATCTACAGAGCATCAAGGTAGGCGCATCAAACAACTAGCCCTACGAGACCGTTTTGCTGCATCAAAGCGCGGACCAATAGAGCTTGGAGAAGAAGGTAGATCTGTTACTATGCTCATACTCATCGCCGCATTCGTGTCTTGGACTTTTTCCATAGCGTGCATGATTAGCGCTTCCTCTGACTGCGGACCACTGTCGTCAACGTTTGAAGTGGAGCAGAAAACGGCAACAATGGGATGCATAATGGTAGGACTTCTGCACGTTATGTTGATCATGTCCTACAAACCAATTTACTACAGTATCTAGAGGGCCGGACACACATCCCTTTTCAGCAAAACAAGGCACATCTCCACATTGCTCCTCGTACTACGGACTTTCTTCAAAAAGCAGAGCTTAAGGTTTTCCCGTGGCCACCTGGATCACCGGATTTAGATCCCATAGAACATGTGTCGGATATGATGGGGAAGAGACTATCCATTTGACACCATCCGCCACAGATTCTGTCGCAGCTGATCCACGAAGTTCGAGTTGCTTGGAATGAGCTGCCATACCCAGACATCGATCATCTCATTTTGTCGATGCCTTGACTATGCAGGAGTGTATTCAGCTGCGGGGTCGCCCAACACTTATTTTTTTTCTTATTGCTTTCGTGAGGATGTTATCGTTTGATTCTTGATGTAAGTCTACCTCATTGCCAAAAAATTAAGTTGAAGAAATATTTTTTTCTGGTTGCAACATTTCTAGTATCAATATGTTCATAGAACGATTGATTGGTTCCTCGGAAAGTAAACAATTTTGGTTTGGGGCTATGGCAAAGCCGACAGGAACAGTTCGACAAATGGTAGCACTTCCATTTATCGACTTAACCTACTCACTTTTGATGGAACACTCTGTTGTCCTTCAATTCCCGCGTTCTAAGCAAGGTTCTAAACACACTTCATCTATAACATCCTAGGCCTAACCGTTTACGAATTATATGAAATTTTGCCATACGATTTCTGGACATTTCTTTATAAATGAGGACTCAGTTTCGTAAATTTGTTTTTTTTTCCTTTCCGAAAGCCGTCCGACCAAGGTCCCCGTTAGCACTGCAGCCTCTAGGGCTTTTTGTGCCTTCGTAAACCTGATTTACTGTCAATGTGCAAGGAAGAGAGTAAAACTTAGTCCTTAGAAGAACCAAAATTCATTTTTTCATATTGGAACTGCTTAAGTTTGTAACTTTGTCGTATTGAAAATCAAAAATATGGATGCTGTGTATAACGTTGTCCGAGATTTTTAGAAATTTTCACTTTTGTATTCCGAATACACTCATGATGATTTTAATGACTAGCTAATCTCAGTTTGAAAAATTGTTTTCAGTCGCTAGAATACTACAACAAACTATGCGAGTGTCCGTGGAATTACTGGAATATCGCTAACAGAAAGATGCTCCTGTTGATGTTGACAAATACAAAGGAACAATGTATTAGTTGTTTTGGATTGATCGAATCGAATTACAGCTACTTGCTAACCGTAAGTTCGTATAGTAAATAGGTTCACCTTTCGCTCAACTTTTTACAATTCTCAAGACCTACAGTTCTGTAACAAGATAGTGTAAATAGTTGGATGTACTTAGTCAATCGTATTTACGTGACTAGCCAACTTAATTATGACGGTCACGATGACGCTCGTTATTTAGGGCGGTATTGTCAGATGTTCTTACAATTGTAGGACGCCTTTATGGACTCCTTGATTTTCATAGCATTTCCTCACCTTCAGAAAGGCTGGGGTAATTATAGACTTCTTCTGTTCCGTGTCAGCGTCAGCATTATGTTTTCTTCCCTAAATTATACGAAATTTCAGGCTATATAACAGATGATATAAATGAAAAGCATGAACAATTTGATGCAAATAGATTTGCAATATAACCTCAAAAGAGAGCGCTGACACGGAAGAGTATAAAAATGTGAAAATCAAAGAAGTCATAAAGGCAATTGTACAATTGTAGGAACGACTGACGATACGGCACTTAAAATGGCAGGTAATTGATTGTTTCCTTTTTCTGAAAAGTGTCATATTTTAAGCTTTTTTTTTGGTGGTCAATGTTGTAAACTGTGTGTTGGGTTAAATGTAGGTATTTTTTTTCTTTATACTGTGTGTCAATGCTTTTAGGTCGGGTTGAAAAACAGCATAAGCTAATACTCCACTTTTTCGTCACTATTCCTTTCAAGCCAATTATTTTGTAATCATGTGAGGAATAAAGGCCATTTATTATTATTATTGTCAATTTGATACGAATTCTCCTCCACTCAAGTCGCGTTAATACAATTTCCATTGCTTAGGCCTTTACTGTTCCGAATGATTTCATTTTTAGTGAATATTAAGAAAACTATTTATAAAAATGTTCAAAGATTTTTCCTTCATTCATGTAGTGCATGTTCCATTGTTTGGTATTTTATCTAATTTTCAGTACTTATTTCCCTCAAAGGTTTTCGTTTTGTGAATAACCTCATCTTTTGAGTTGCGTATTTTCACAGTCTTATAACAGCCAGGAAATGAAAATTATAAAATTTTGCCAACAATTCTTATACACTCAAAAAGTTTACTTTTATTGAAAATACGCAAAAGATATGTCAATGATTTTCAAGGAAACATATTGAAAAAACGTCATACTGATGGACCTCTAGCTCAACTGGAATGTGTCGTCAAAAATGCCGGTAGCTATTTAAATTTACAAAGTCGAGGTCATTGTCTATGTCAAATTTGAGGCTATTGATAAATTACTTATTTGATACACTGGATTTGATTCTTAAGCCATCTTTCCGAAAAATGCGGCATCACCAAGTTTTCGGGATGTTTGACATTACAGTAAGTCATACTGATTCAGTTACTCATGACCGCGTGACCTCATGTATGAAATCTGATACCGAATCTCGAGCCTAACACGAACCTGTTTTCGAAAAATTGTGATTGATAGTTCACAAAGTTGACATCTAAATGACCTTTAAGATCATTGTCTAGGTCAGGCCTCTCCAACACGAGCACTCGGTGCTGGTGCGCTCCGGTGCTGAACCCAGCGGCACTGGTGCCGTTCCCCCTCCACCTCGACCGCGCAGCCGTCACGACAGAGAGAAACATATTAGCCGGCTGTCTCTCGGGCGCGGGCCATTTCTTAATAGGACAAGACACAGTGGACAGGTTTTTTTTTGCGTCTTGACGTGCATCTTTTTTTAAACGATGTCATTCAATCCTGCATGGAAGAAGCCTATTTTTTGTAAATACTGATGAAAGATCAAAATGTTTAATTTGTCACACGGTATTGAGGCCAGCCCTTCAAAGTTCTGAAGAGGTAATTATTAATTTGGTCGTAGTTGATTATTATTAATGGTGTCGTAATGCAAGTTATATTGTTGCTTTGAAAATCGCAAAAAGTAGGAGACCGTTTACTGATGATGCACTTGTCAAAGAATACTTAGTGAAATGTGCAGAAATATTGTGCCCATCTCCTGTAAGCAACTTTGAGACAATTAGTATGTCCGAGCAAACAATTTCTCGTCGGATACTTGAACTTGGTGCAGATTTGAAAGAACAACTGCGGGAAAATGTGCCCATTTTGTGCAGTATTCTTTCGCTCTCGATGAAAGTAAAGACGTTTCTGACACACCATAATTAGCTGTTTTCGTTAGAGGTGTCGAAATAGTCTTTACTATTACCGACGAACTACTAGACGTTATCCCGCTCAAAGATACAATAGCAGGAGGAGATATCTTTGATGCTGTAGAATTGACAATGAACGACATAGGTATACTACTCAAAAGTTTGCGTAGTGTTGTTACTGATGGAGCGCCAGCAGTGTTATCGGAAGCACAAGGTTTTACTGGGCGAATAAAAATAAAAGTACGCGACGCCGGGCTACCTCTGATATCATCGGTACACTGCATATTACATCAGGAACAACTACGTGCAAAAACCTTCCGTAATTTCAAATCTATTATGGATGTAGTAATAACATGTGTCAATTCTTGCAGAAAGCAAGGTCTCAACAACGACAGTTTGAAGTATTTTTCAAAGACCTGGAAGCAAGTTACGGTGAGATACCCTTTTATTGTGGTATGCGCGGGTTAAGCTGCGCAAAAGTGCTAAAGATTTTTTATTGAAATCCTTGACGACGTTGAGATATTTATGCAAATGAGATTTTTACGACGCCATCTTCAGTGCTTTTCGAAACAGAACCGCCGCAGTTCCAAATGGAGCTGATTAAGCTTCAATGCGATAGGATCTTTAAGGATAGATACTACCACTACAATAGTAATTTAATTTCGTTTTGTCAAGGTGTTAAGCAGCAAGATTTTCCCAAAATTCTTACTGAGCTCTTCTTGTTCATTTACTTAAAAACTACATATTATTACTAAATTTAGTCGAATCCGCGATGAAGGTAAACTCAACGCCACCAGCTCCCGGGTCGTTTCTTTTCGCAGGTTTCTACGGTTAGCACAACACCTTCCTGGCGATGCGTATGCCGCTGCCTAATCCCTCCCCCACCTTCACGGAGTCACCCCGCAGCACTGTGCTGCGAGCGGTACTCGGCGCTGCACTGGTAGCACCTGAGTTGGAGAGGCCTGGTCTAGGTCATAACTGAGGTCATCGTCAAATTGCTTATTATTTGATACCCTGAAACTTTTATCTGAACCGTTTTTTTTTAAATGCGTGATTACTAAGTTTTCGTGGTGTTTTTGTACTTTCCAGACGTTACAGTAGGTCATGCTGATTGAACTGTACCTCAAGGAGGAAAATGGATTATGATGTACGATTTCGAACCACCCATAAATTTGTTTTTGCTATTTGGATTTACAAAGTCGACCTCCAAATGACCTCTAAGGTCAGTGACTAGGTCATATCTGAGGTCATCGAGAAATTTCTTTTTTGCTACCCGGAAACTTTTCTCTAACCTTTTCCCTAAAAGGAATTTAATGGATATCCTGTACGTATATTGCTGTTGGCGCGTAAATAGATTTTGGAAATAGCCCGATATTATTTGATGAGATAAATTAATGGAAGGATATAATTACATGAGTAATGAACATTCATTGAGTATGAAAGGTATAGGTGTACATTTTAGATAAAAATGCACTAACTTGATCATTAGATTAAGTCGCAAGACGGATAGAGGAACATTTTATGTGTTAAAAAAGTCGCTGTATATGTATGTATATATTTTTACCGTTACAGATTGAACACATTCCGATTCTTGCGCTGTATCTACATATATTATGATTCAACCTGTTAAGATGTTTTGTAATTGAAATGTCCTTATTTATTTTATACTTATAAGTGTTTTTCCGGCATATCTGCTCGAACGCATATATGACCCTCAAATTCATACTATATTGACAAGTTTTATATCATGTAACATTCTCTAATAGGACAATAAACTATCATCTATCTATGTACCAAAATCTACAAGGCCACTGAAGATCATTTTACTGGACTAAAGGCCGGAAGGAAAATTCATAATTTAAGTGTAAATGAACTGAATCTAGAGTTACCATAAGTTAGTGTTCGGTGATGTACCAAATAATTTCGTGTGGTTACGTTTCGGGATCGTTTGATGTTTCGGTTCAAAGTAATTTCGATTTATATCCGATAAACCTAAAGCTTCCTAATAATGTTTACGCCAAATATAATTCAAACCCTGAAATCGAAAGAGGTAAAAAGATTGAAGGCAACCAGAGCGGAAAATCTAGAAAGAAGGATGATACGAGAAGAGAGTGATCATTTTCCTTTGAAGATTCGCGTTTTGAGGAGTTATGGAGAATACCAACAACCGTATTTTCATATTTAAATCATTAGCAAATGTCGATCTTCTTTCTGCCTAACTCCGAATCAAAGAACGCTACAGCTCAAAAGTGTCACCAATGAGATTGTAAACAGAATTTTAAATCGGTGTGGGCGGATAAAGCACTGATTGAATTGAATCATGTCGATATGTAGAATACGATAGGATACGAAGTGCTGTTCTATTTACGAAGACCAGGCCGAAACATAATTGTATGATCAAACGAATTCATCAGTAAGTGATATTCGACCTTAATTATGTGGAGGCCGCGAAGACTCGCTCCCTACATATCACCCAAATTTTGTAACAGCTTTGGCTTTGGAGAAAACGAGACTTCGTAGGCAAGGGGCGGGGAAGGTCAAGGTGGGAGGGTACGGTTGGTAGGGAAACCGGGGACTACATCTGTTCTATTCACTTTGACGAGGCCTTCATATAGCTAAGATCGCATATCACTCACAAGCAAGCTCGTCTGATTATATAATTATACAGGGTGTCCCATTTTTATCCTCCTACCCAAATATTTGAAGACTGCATTATAGAAAACAAATTTCAACAATACAAAATGATGGTGGCCTTGAAAATGACCTTGACCACAGTCTTCAAGGATTTTTCAAGATGGATCGGATATTCTCAAACGGAACTCCGCTTTTCCATTTCCAGACTTGAAATGAGAGGTTTCCTTTGGAAATTTGGTCTTGACCTTGGTCAAGGTCATGGTTAGGATCGTGGTCAAGTTCACATTTGGGGGATCTCCACAATCAGCACATCTGTGCTGCAAGGCATTTCGACCTTGCGATTGTTAAGATCATGGTGATTCATATATTCAACTGTAAAAGCTGCTCCTCTTTCCACTTGAAAATGTTCACTTAACATTATAATGACCTTTCAGGTCGTGGTCAAGGTCATTCTCAGGGTCACCATCATTTTGCCTCCTCGAAACCCTACAAGTTTTGTTTGAAACTTTTTTCTAGTAGTTTTTCAAATACTTAGGTCAGGACCCACTTTACAGAGAAAAATCTAAAGTAGTAAACAAAACAAATCTCAATTTGAAAGTTTTAATATTCCCAGTAGCAGAGGTATTTAAAAATTTAAATGTGCCCGAAACTCATTATAGCACCCTCGGCCCACTTGACCAGGTTTCACAGTGTCAGTCAAAGGAACAACCCTGGATTAAAGTAATAAAGCCGCCAGTAGATAAAGTCTTTTTGCTGATAATCTTTTGATATATTCCAGAGCTTCCGGGTATGGTACAGCATAATATGCTTCTGCAGCAACTGTCCAAATCAATCATTGAAGGAGAAGATAGCCATAGATGGACCAAACGGGCTTTAAGCTTCGACTCGTATCACCATTACTTTTTTTAGTGTTTTCACGCAATTTTAATATGTATAACTAAAAGCGGATGTATGTAGTTATCACTAATTGTTACAGTTGTTTGTAGCGAAAAATGTTAATTTTAGACAACACAAATGTTTCTGGGTGTAACTGTGGTTATTCAATAATAAAAATATGAAATACTTTGCAATCAAGGTGAATAACTTTTCTCTATTTTCAGCGTGGAATGCTTAGTGTCTTGGATATATTAACTGCATAAAAATGGGTTGCAATCGTGAGACATACTTTCCTTTAGGCCCGTACCCCTGGGACTTAATATATTTTCACTGTAAATGGTTACTAATGCGAATTAGAGTATAGATACACTATGCATCTTCATTTTATAGAATATTCAACATACTAGGCTTAATGGAAAAAATATACATACATAAATTGATCAACCAATCATCACTGAATTTATAATTTTCATGCTGTTATATTATGCATGGCTGCTACTAATATGAGAAATAGTTCATACTCATCTGTAGTTTTCAAAAATAATTTTCATCGTAATGAACACACTGCACCATATTATGCAAGAAGCAAGGCAATCTTCAAACGAACGCACCCATTTTCCTTTCCACACAACGTCTCCCATCTTGTTTTTGGATTCAAACCTTTGTTCTTTTCGCAGAGACTTTGCAAGCGGAAAAGCCAAAACCGCGTGCCCTCAAGTCCGGACAATGAAGTAGTTTGTCCAACAGTTTTATCCCAGATTCTTTAAAAGACTGAGTTATTTCGGCGCCGATACGGTGTAGATATGCAGATGCACACCGTGCCACTTGATTACTCTCACATACAAAAATCTGTCTCATGCATAGTAGATACGTGTTCATAATAATATGATGAAACAGAGAAGCACATCAGTAGAGCACTATTCATGTCATATGATCCTGGGCGTATAATAACAACCAACTGGAAATTCTTTTTTGTAAAAAATAAAAGTTGAGCTACAGTAACATATTTTAATAATATGTATAGTTACCTTTATTTTTGTGATAACTTTGACCAAGCAGACTTGAATCAATGATTTTTTATCATTATATTGCAATCTGTCAGAGTAAATTCGCCACACCATAGAATTTCCAATTATATTTAGGGGTAGGTAAACGCGCCATTGAAGAACGACAATTTTATTTTTGCAATGCACTTAGAATGCTGGCGTTGTCCTGATGGAATATTCATGACTGGCAATTAAAAGATTATTTATTTCACTAAATTTGCACTGAAGCATATGTTTATAATTTTCAGCAGTCTAATTTCCCCACCCCAAATCCAACGCTACTATACTAAGTGACATATAAATCCGAACACCCAGCTTAAATGGTTTTATTTTAATAAAATGTTGTATAAGTACTTAATGAAGCATAATAAGTAAATGATAAAAATTTCAAAACGATTGCACTGCTTTAAAGCCCTTTGACCTTTAGTAATGTGTGGATGCACCCTGATGTGCTACACATTCTCCAACGCGCTTAGGCATGCTTCTGATCAGGTGGTCAATGTCCTCCTGTGGTATCTCTTTCCAGGTAACCACCAACTCCTCTCGCAGCGCTTCTGGAGTCTGAGGAGGACGTTGCAAATTGAGCAATCTCCTACCCATCATATCCCACACGTGCTCAATTGGGGATAAGTCGGGAGATCTTGGCGGCCATGGTAACAATGTGACATCATTATGTTGAAAGAAGTCTATTGTGACTCTTGCAACATGTGGTCGGGCATTATCTTGTTGGAAAGTTGGATCTGCCAGGGTATCAAGATAGGGTAAAAGATGGGGTTCTAGAACCTCGTGCGTTTATGTTACCTCTGATGAAGATTAAAGGTGATCTGGAACCATAAGCTATAGCACCCCAAACCATAACTCCAACAGTGTGATGAACATGTCTTTCAACAAAAAACTGTGGATTCCTCCTTTCACCACGTCGCCTTCTAACCCTGGCACGACCATCGTGCATGCCTAAACAAAATCGAGACTCGTCACTAAAGACAATACTGTTCCATTCCTGATCCCAGAGTGACCGTTGTCTGCACCACTCAAGGCGATTACGTCGGTGTTCTCGAGTTAAAGGGAGGACCCAGTGTGGCCGGTATGAAAACAAACCAAAACTTCTCATTCGTCGGTAATCACTTCGCATGACAATAGGTCTTCCGTGTTCCGCAAACCATTCATTTGCAATGGACCTGGTAGTGGAGAAACGGTCCCTTAAGGTCAATAATCTTAGGCGGCGATCTTCACGATCTGTTGTTCTACGGCGGCGTCCAGTGCCCCTTACTCTTTGCGTACGGCCTTCTCGAAACCATGCCTGACAACACCTAACCACAGTGTCTACACTTCTTTGCACTCTAACTGCAATTGCCCGAAAAGAAAGTCCAGCTTCCCGAAGTCCCACTATACGGCCCCTATCAAACACACTAAGTTGACGAAATCGTACAGGTCTCCGTACTCTAGGCATCGTAACCGATCGTAAAGGATGTCAAGAACCAAAATCCGCCAACGTTGATTCTTTACTGAGGCTGATATATTCATTTTTAGAGCGTTAGTGAATTAAAAAAAAGCAGTATAAAAACCGGAATGTCCAACTGATAAGGCTGAAAATTTTTTCACTTGTTATTTACAGTAAGATAAATACATTCACCAACTTTTATTAAAATAAAACCATTTAAACTGGGTGTTCGGATTTATATGTCAGTTAGTATATGTTGCCTCGACAAAGGTTTTTAACTTTTCCTCAATCATAGAAGTCATAGGCAAATTCTTCTGTTACTTCCAGGTAAAACCTTTTTTAATCACAAAAGACCATTATTCATCGTCATATGAATTCTGCCAAATTCTAACTGGGTAACAAGATATTAATTGGAGAGCGGTGTGTTTTTATTCCTTGCATTGTAAAAGTATTGCTTTATATATTACTCAGCTTGCAGTCCTAATGTTTGCTGCGATTTTTCTCGATGTACCCGCGGAATCTGATGCTTATCTTAACATGAGGCCACGTTCCCGAGGTATTGAAGCTAATTCTGTGCGTCCTTTACCACTGTTTCCTTAATTTTCTGGGTCTCGCAGATAATTGTTTACAATCCAAGTACTCAAATGAACAACTGATGGGAGTCTAATTATATAGTCCTGGAAAATTATTCTAGCAATTTCTAATATGAAATCTGACTGATTGAGTAAGTATTCCACCATATTGTATAACATTGCTGCATATAAAATTTAAGAGGTCGCTGCAAAGCTCTAGAATGTTCCATATGAAGGTATATTTATTGATGTGAGAGTAATTGGGTAACCCGACTTGTACCAAGAGTTCAGCGGTGATATAGGTTCGACTGTATGTTTATCAAGCTACATGTTTGACAGTGACCCTAAAACAACAGAAAAAAGTACTGCAGCTTCTTTTGCTTACCCTTTTCTTCTCAATCGCCAGTACTATAATAGGTTCCCTTGTCTAAACGTTCTAATGACTTTTCACCTAATTGCTTTTTTAACCCAATAATTTTATAGGTGATGATTGTCAACATATATCTTATAAACTATTCAACACTCTCTTAATGGAACTACAACTTGTATGATGAATTTCTATATAAAAAGGTAAAACACAGCCTTAAGTTGTACAGAAAACTTACAAAATGAAGCTAAAGATTTCGCGGTTTGTTCTGAATCTGTTCAACATGCAAGACGGTACTGAAATTGACTAATGTAGCATTTGTAAGAATGGTTGAGAAAGGTTACTTAATTTCATAAGTTTACAGATCTGAATATTTTTTTCTTCGAAATTTCTTATACAGTTTTCACCAGCAGTTTTAGAAAACTTCGGCAGTCCACCAGGATACGGGGAACTATTTATTTAAAAATCAAGCTTACCATGAGATTTGATCATCAGCCAGCAGATCTGCGATTTATAAGATATACCTTTGACTTGCTTTGGCACCGAACCATGCAATTTAGAAGGAGCTTTTCATATTTGGTACCCGATATATATTATTAAGCACTTCAAGCTTTAGAAACTTTATCCGATTTTGAAGAAGTGTTAAGCTTGTCTTTGATAACATAAATTTAGTTTTATTTGTTTTTATTTTTTTGTGCATGTTTTCCCTTACCTCTTTTTAATTGCTTGTGCTTTATAGTCAGTCTGTTTGGTTATAATGTCAATATCTACGGATAACTCGTCACATTTTTCTAACCATGATCTTAAATCTTGTTATGGATTGCGTTTTGCATTTTTATGGTTTTTGCGCAGTGCAAATACTATAATGCCTAGACTTGAATTTTTTAATGATGGTCCGTACTGAAAACAGCTTTTGCTAATATAACCCGCGAGGTGAAGTGGAAGCTGTTTACTTATTTATATTTTTCATGTATAACGTTTTTTTTTTCCTGTGGGGGTTTGTATTTTATTTTTTTAAATGTCAACAGTGACAAACGAGTATTACGTCTTTTGATGTAAGGGCACATCTTGAAAATGAAACATTTTTTTAACCTAATCTTATTTGAGCTTTTTGTACTCCGAAATGTCCAAGTAATTACCCCTCAAATTTTGACCAGGTACTTTAAACTAAAATCGTTGAAAAAATACGCTATACTTAAACTGAAATTTGTCTTCATGTCCATTCAGATCGCCTAGACTTAAATCTGTTGTGTCCCTTTGGGGGTTTGGTTTCTGTTGAAGTATATTTTTTTATTTCAACATATTTTATCAACATTTTAAATGATAATAATTTAAAAAAAAAGCATCGACAGCCTGTATCGATAAAATAAAACAAACAGAAATTAAATACATCGATTAAATTTTCAAAAACGTAAAAAAAGAGTAAAAACAATAATTCCTTTTTCTGCTTTCAATGCTTCCGACAATCGCAATTTGAGCCGCAAACAGTATTTCTTTAATGTTATTTGTGCTACACTGGTTAAATTTGAGTCAATACCCCCATCTATCCCAGAAATACTTTATTCTGTTTCAAAGTATAACTTTGACACCATGTATCTGTCAAATGGCATTTTTTCACAGCTTTATTCTTGAGAGCACTTTTTAACCTACACGTATTATGACTCATTTTCATATTGACCTGCATATCCATATTGAAAAAATCACACCACCTCTGGAACAAGCCCTAAAGCTCA